ACATATTATCTATTCATTCATATGAAAAATTCAAAAACACAAACAATAAAACGAAAACTTATCCTTTGCCGTTGTTATCTGTTTATATTGACCACATTATGAATCCTGTATCCTTATCTTTGATTTTTTTTTCGTTTTATTTCTACTGAAAAAAAAACATTTGATCAGATTTTTTAACATGATTATTGTAAATGATTTTTAAATAAATAGTACTTTATATTCATACAAGTTTTTATCTGTATCAAAAACGCGATGAAAAGATCGTCCTGTAACGTTCTCTGACATGAATTATTAACATAATATTCAATTACAATGCCAAAATTAGAATATAAATTAGTATTAGATAGAAATAAAAATCGATTTTATTATGAAAGATTAAAAAGTATGCCAAGATAGAAGATGAACATATGTATGAAGTTTTTTGTCTCGAAAACTATTATCGATTTTGAGTTAAGAACGGAAGTCTATGCATTAGTTGAATTTAACAAGATATATTGTTGACATTATCTTGTTTAATAGAAAAAGCTTCTCTGTTATAAAAACAAAATTGTAGGTTTCGATATTTTAAAGCTTATTTGAGTGGTTTGGACAAGTTTCTCTGTAAAATGATCAACATGTACTTTGTTTAACAAATTGAATTTGACATAGATTCCCATCTTTCTACTTTGCTCTTTCCAATTGTGCGAATTGCAAATTTTCAAATACTTACGTTCTTGACTTAGTCAAAACACAATAGATCTTATTATATTTCAAAATGAATATTAACTGTATGAGACATACAGACATTTATGTTGCTTTTAAAATATCTCTATAATGTAAATTAGTTCAATTGATGATTTGAAACTTAAGATAACTAATAACTAATAATTATATTTCTAAATAATAAAATCGAACAATCGATATGCATAACTTAAAATTTTTTTTTAAATCTCATTTAGATTTATTCATAGCTACAAAAACGAAAAATTCGATGTATCAAATCAATCGAGATAGTTATGTTGTCTTGTAAAGCTTAATGAATTTGTTTCTTGGTCAATTGAATGAAAATTTAACCATTTTATCGTTCTATTTGTTCTTTGCATTTAGGTTGACAATACGTTTTCAATTAGTTATCGAAAAATGTCGATGAATTGTTTCTTCTCGCTGAAGAAAAGGGTGTAGGATGTAGGTATAAAGAAGAAGGGCATCCACATCACACACATCTAGATCCTCAGAATCCCATTGATACCAATAGATCGTAGAGATCCGTGAAACCTAGTAGATACTATTGTTTTCGAGACTTCGTCTGCATCAGTCTATATCTATTCATACCGATAATCAATTACTTCAGATTTGTTTTTGATGGGAATTATTCGGTAATTCATTTGCATCACCCAGTACCTGAGTCGCATACGTATGTACACTATTCAAACACGTGCATGGAATATAGTTCGAAACATTACCAGTGTTAGCAAGAATACATTGAAATTAGTTCAATCTTAGGTACATATATAAATCATATTGGAAGAATGATCTATTTATATTTGCTTTTATGTAACGGATAATGCGAAAATTCTCAAAAAGTTGTCGCTCAATTTTTAATCGGTTGCAACAAGTTTTAGACGAATTACGATTGTTTATTCAACACGTAAATTGAAATCAATTTCTAACTGTTTGTTCAAAACTGTTCAAACATGTCTTTTCTTTGAGTAACGAGAACATCTTTAAATGGTACTCAAAATCAGCCTTTCAAATGACTCACAATGGCTGCAGCAGAAGAAATTGATCTATTAGTTTTGAATAATGTTCATCAGCATAGTTAAGCATATTCTACTATTCCAGATAGTTCAGGAAACGACATTTTTGTCATTTAATGTGATAAACACTAGTTTTGGTCAATATATTCAAATTTAAACAACAAAATGCCGTTTTCTGAACTACTTAGGTACAGAAAAGTACATGACATAAGAGTCATTTGGTTATTGTATATATAGATCGAGAGCGGAGACGCGAAAAAGTGTAATTTCGGGCACAATGTCCTCCAAAGGATAATAAGACCGAGAGATGATGTATTGAGCAGAATGATGAGCAGTATATTACAGATATCCCTATTCAACTTTTGAAAATGTTGATCAACAATAGTCTGTTTACGATTGCAATAAATAGATGAGACAAGGATATTTTTGAAAAAAAAATTCTCCCATGCTAAATTTTCTGCTATTTTTCCGGCTATTATAGCGTTAAAAAAATTAAATGAAATTCTACACAAATAAATTACATTAAGTAACACATCTGGTATAATTATGGTTTTACGATCTTCAGGTATCTGCTAGATCAAGCATCGACCTTGAAAATAGATAATGATTGATTTTTGTTCATATCACAAAACGAAGATAAAAGGTATTTATTAACAATGAACTAATTTCATATAAAATCAAGAAATTAATGTTTTAGCTAGAGTATTCCATAGCAGTACACCATTGAACAACAAAATTTATGCAATGAGAATGTTAGACGAAAATAACTTGTTGAATGGAAAAATGATAACTTTTCAAATGCAAAGATAATCTGTATAATTTCATCTTTAGCATCATTTACTAAATATGAATTTCATTAACTATTACTATATTATTAAGAACAGTTGTTGTTGGATTATTATTCTATTTTTTATATTGTCGAAATTCAATAATAATGTAACATATTGTAGCCACACTTAAGTAAACAATTTGTAGAATGATCGATATACGAACACGCAATGCTGAAGCATAGGAATAAACGACAACACAGCCAACATTTTGAAGTAACGAAAAGATTGAGAAAGATATTTCTTTTGAATCGGCAAATATAGTACCATACAAAGCTGAAAGAAAAACAATACATACACATATCAGAGTTTCAGTTAGAAATAGATTCATATGAAGATAAATCGTGAAGAAATAGATAGAAAGATCGATAGAGAATTCAATTCTTAACAAAATTCGAAATATAAATTTTTGTAATGAAAGAAAATTGAAAACCTACAAAATGAGACAAGAATATTTGTTTTCTGATAGTTTCTCTAGAATAGGACTTGTCTTTGATTTAAACAAACACATCTCTAAGAAGATGCTTAATGAGATATGCGATTAGTTAATGTTTCTATCATCAAGATGTATATGCATCTGAGCACCTTGGGGTCATTTTTCGAAGTTCTCTATCAACTCTAAAAAGATGACTGCAGTTCTTAGTAACAAAAAATATACATATGATAATTCTCATGAATAAGATGATATCTTATTCAATATCTAGTTGAACAGTGTTTGAACTTTTTCATAGTCAACTTTCTCTTTTAAGATAGGTTTTGCTTACAGCTTTGTACAGAACAGACACTATGAAAGAAGTATCGCTTGATTTTTTTTTATTGCAACATTTAAAGGATAATGCTTTTGCTCATCTAAATCTGTCTAAAAAAAAACTTTAGACCCAACATCTAAGGGATTAAAGTATAAGACATCATGAAACCGCTACAATAGAGAGCAAAATAATCTAATACGTGGACTCACAATACTCAGCATGGTATCACGAATACCTTCAAAATATATATGATGGTCTGTGGAGTATCGTCTGCTCTATCATTCTTCCTCCCCTTAGCCATTATAGGTGGGCTCTTCTAACTATTTGACCTCTCTACTTCATGATATGTAGAAAATTCCAAACCTGATATGGGCGGATTGATAAGGGCTGATATAAAGCCAGCTATACATGGATTATACACAGCACATATGTCTGCGAAGAGTTCGACTTCCATACAAGCAAGACCACATATATTACATAAGAAAGAAGTGATGAAAGTATAAAGCATACGGGACGACCATAATTTAATTTGACAACATAACCAATAATGACACTAAAGATGCTCGCCGTAATACCAAATGAAGTCATCACAAGACCTAAGAAAAATCGAGAAGAAAATAAATTATTATAAACTCATACTCACCAACATATTGAATGCCCAAAGTACAGGTGATGAAGCTCTACAACAAATTTAAAAATGATTTCGTGTTGATTAATATGAATGTCGAAATCAGTAAATGTCTTTATTCAGGTTTTTTGAATTCTTGTCGTATGTCCATAAACAGAATCGAACTTTTCTTCATTCAAAAGAATGACTATTTCAAAAAATAAAATTACTACGCTATATCTATTCGTCTATATTATCGATTCATTAAGAAGACTTCTCGAAAGTTATTTTTCCTATGATATTTCAATTACTTATCAGTGTACTAAAAAGAAAAATGATTATTCGAGGAAATGATAAATAGAGAAAACTTTTAGATCAATATTCAACATTTTCTAAAAATAGAAATAGTTTTATCATTCGTCTTGTATTTTCCTCGATTTAGACGCATTCAAGATATTTTCAGATAGCAAATGACTTTACAGAAATTCTTTTTCTTAGACACTGAATAATACTGACTGACTTGTGTGTAAATACTAGTGATAAATGCTTCGGAAGCGTCAGTCCAGAAAGCTATTGGTGTCCAGAGCAGACGATGTGGATCAATCATCTGTTTCAATAATTGTACTGTGAAATCGAATGATTTCCGTATAAGGCTTTTAGAATTATTGTCTATAACAAAAAAAAACAAATATATATATAAATGACAGTATGCATAATGAAATGGTATATACGATACATGAAATTACCTTGCAGTTTACGTTTTTGGTCAAGAAAAAGGATAATAAATATGATGGATATGAAAATAATACCGATGAATGCACTATAAAGAATATAAATCTGAAAAAACAAACAAATTGATTCAAATATATTATTGTTTCGATTTTGATTTACCGTTGTAGGTGATATATAATTATCATCATTTTTTGATTCATGTTCACTGACTACGAAATTTGCTCCACATTTTTTCGGATCATTTGTCGTACTTTTATTTATATTTTGCAAAATGAAATACGCTACTAGATTACCCCATATTTGTGCTGCAGTTATACAAAATCAATAAATAAATTGTTAGATTAATTATTTATGAAGAAGATTTACTTGTTTGAAATGCCGAAAATAAAATACCAAAATATTTATTCATTTTATTATTACCATTATCATGAGCATTTTCATCAATACCGAGTACTGTAACATAAGCATTTTGAGCTTTACACATGCTCACACAGAAAATATCACATATGATTGCCATTAAACAACAGCATTTGAATGTATTTTGTTTGAATATATTGATACACTTACTCGAATACATAAGTACTGCTTTAGGATACATGTTAGCTGCAGTATAAGCAAGGACACCGATTTGACCAATGACAATGATCCATTTATAACCAAAAGTGTACATAAGTGGCGTAGTGAGAAAAAGAGAACCAAATATTGAACCAACCGCTTCGAGTACCAATGAATAGAGACCAACGTTTTTTTCTGTATTGACACTAGATTGTAAATTGGCGACAGCATTATATGAAGTATATGCACAGACAAATGAAAGACAAATTATAGTAAGATTTCGCTTTTTTCCTCCTTTTTTCTTTTGATTTTGATCTAAATTTTTATTGTTCTCATTTTCAACATCAGCCATTCGCTCTACAATTCAAAATTTGATGTTTTATTTTTTGCTGCTTGAACTCCTCTTGAAATCTTATCATAATAAATAAAGTGTTGTCTCAGTGAGAATTACAAGTTCGAACCGTTAATTCTTATCCTTAGATGTTTATAAGACAAATAAAATTGAATACGTTTATTATTCTGCTTTTTCCTACTTTTAATGAGTGTTCTTCAATTTTTTCTTTTATCTATAATTAAAATTCATATTTGATGATTTTTTTCCCATTTTTCTACATTTTTGATTCTTCTTTTTTTTTGCAATGATCGAATCAATTCAATCCAGGAGTGTCGCAATGTGGAGAAAACTTTTAAAATATTTCTGCTTTCGTACTACAAAAGAAGGATAAAAGATCACTTTCATTTTTTAAATATAAACATATAGAAATTCGTTTTAACTATAAAAGCCAATCTTCTCATGGTACAGTTGATATAATTTGTTTGACAAAAAAATCAACTTTTTATTATGTTTTCTAGTGAAGTCCTGTGGGAGTTAAGCAATGCTGATGATCTTACAGTTGATTCTTAGAAGTTACCTTCTATAATACAATTTTATTATTTTACTTACGAGTTTATTTATTCTTCTAAATATTATTTGAATATAAAAGAAAATAGCATCAAATATGATCTGAAAGATACTTCTATAAATATATTATTTGAAGTTTAGTATCTTGGCTAAATATCTGTTGAGCATATAGTCAGATACAAACTGAACGAGTAAAATAACAGATAGTAATACGTCATTTACTGTATGACGCTCTTACCTAATAAATCAAAAAGACTAATAGTAGAACATTATTGAAGAAAAAATAAATATTTGGTATCTTTCCTTCCATTCCTGTGCACGTGCTTCTGAGACAACGTTTAACAAAAATACAAGTCAATTAAGTGCAAAATAAACATGTGTAAATGAGTGCAAAACAAATATGTGTGACCGAGTATAAATGAGAGATGAGCCACTGTCAACTTTTCGTCTTCGCACTAGAAGCGATCGATTTTCTTCTATAAACGTTTTCACTGATATGAAGTTGATCTTTTTTTGTGATTACTTTAGTTTGATCTCTTTTTTCTTATCTATTCTGGTAACAAATATTAGTAAAAAATAGGCAAATATCTTTTTCGAAATAAATCTATTGTGATAAACGACTACCTTCTCTAGTGAGACTCTAGTATTGTTTAGTTTTTAAATTTGTGTTTTTTTAACTTTTAGATAGTGTGTAATGCTTTCAATAACTAGATTTTCACTCATCTTGATAGTGTGGATGTGATGAGATACCACTACAGTGCAATTGTATTTTATAGTTTGCTAATAAATTATTATCAAATGACAAAGTATTAGTAAAAGAAGAAGTCATTAGAAAGAATAAAGAGTGTGAGGTGTCGGTGTGAGTGAAGAAGATAATAATAACACCCATATCCACACCTACATCCTCTCTAGCAACTGAATTTTAGAAATTAATTTTTCTAGACATCTCTTCCTTTTCATATTCGAATGTTGTTCTATATTAGTATGCTTCACAGCCGAAAAAAGAAGGTATTTTTGAAAATTTTAACAGTATTTTGCAGTCCTGTGTTGCCGTGGTGTTTTGCTTGACAACGGGAAACACAAGCTTTTGCTGATTAAGATAAATTTCGACGATTTTTTGGGGATTATTTTAAGATTTTATTCAATCTTTACTGTCAGTACTTCAGATACCTTTTCTATGTGGTCATATACATCGAAATAAAAAATATTTAGTATTCTTCTGTTCTATACTTGGTTTTTAGTCTAATTGAAGAAATATTTCCTGGTAGCTAATCGTTATTTAGTAATATAATTTTCAGATCAAAAAGTTTGGAGGGTCTGAAATTTTTTTTGTTTAAAGCGGATAGCAAATTTTCTCTCGATAATAAATGACACTAATTAAATGGTGAAGAAGAAAAGTGTGTATCTGGCATTATTTGTATATAGTTCAAGGAAAGGAAAGTATTCACATAGATTCAGACGTAATCGTATGTTAAGGGATGATTGATAAACTATATATTATCTATGTCGAAAATCGTTAGTATAAGTTAACATGGGAAAATTATTCTTGTCGAGTATCTCATGAAATCTCATAGTGTGATATATTTGAAGTGGCTATGCATATTATTACTTCTGAGAGAAACATAGAACAAACAGTGCAAGATATAGTTTAAAAATATTTATTGATTATCGAATAATAGTCTGAGATTAAAATGAGAGGAGAATAGCTAATGAGAGTCAGGGAGAATTGAACAATGTTTTTCTCTTTTCTTCACATTTAACAAGCATTGCTTGCTATTGAATAAGCATCGATTGACGACGTCGACGACCACTATTCGATGCTACCGTGGTAGTTGTTGTCGTGGTAGTCAGACTACTGCCATCACCGCTTCCGATATCTGGCAGATCAGGAAGGTCGGGCCATTCAGGCTGATCAGGAAAGTCGGGCCCTTCAGACACATCTGGTTTATCAGTGGGTTCGGGCTTCTTTGTAGTCAAAGATCGTGCTGGAGTTGGTGTTAGACGACGAACGGGCGTTGGCACGGAACCAGCGGTTTGATTGGTGTCACTCGAGATGGTTGCGTCGGTCCGTAAACAGACGGAGTGGGTGGTTTAGGTTTCACCGGTGAAGGTGGTTTGACTACCGGTGAAGGTGGTTTGACTACCGGTGAAGGTGGTTTGACTACCGATGGAGACGGAGGAGGTTGTGGTTTGACCACCGGTGGTGGCGGAGGAGGTAATGGTTTTACCACCGGGGGAGGTGGTGGTAGTAGTGGAGGCCGTATCACTATAGGAGAAGGAGGACGGAATCCACCAAAGAATCCGAAACCTTTCGGCTCAATGGCATTGTCTTCAGCAAGAACACGATTGCTTGTGCTCACTTGGAGTATGACGACACAGAAGAAATACACGAGAATCGACATTTTGATTGTGAATGTTTGTTAGCTTGATCGTTGAATATGAAGTAGAAATATGGTTCTGATTTCTTTTTATATACTTTTCAGTCATGAACTTCCTTTTTGTATTGATTCATCGAAATTTCGTCGGTTTCTGCATCATTGAATTCAAGATAGAACTATTTTTGGACTTATTTCTCTTATGTCATAAGCACTACATAGTTAGAAAATTTATTTTCAATGTTGCCCATGGGTAGTATTTACTTTAAACTGCGTTCTTTTTTTTTCAATTTTTCCTTCGATATTGTAAGCTGTATGTAAATAGGAAGAATTACTTCCTTTGTACACAGAAGGAAATGATTCGAGTGCAATAGTGAATAGAATGACGATATTCTTAAGCAAACAGAATGAATCGAAATAGGAACGTTTGCGGCGATTTCAACTGTTTTTTACGACGAAATATGATTGAAATGAGTCACCAGTTATGTTGACGATTAAGAACACCCATTGTTAACTTCGCGACATGACAGTTCCGCGCTGATACTTCCGTTCACAGGTACTTCTGCGTAGAGGCGTTTCTACGCGTGACATCACCATACCAACACTTATGTAGGCGCGGGTGGCGGGTGTGGATGTTTGCTTCTGAATTACATCCAAACTCAATCTTACCCGAATCCATTTAGATTTGGATAGGATTCGGATCGGAAAATTCCCTGTTTACCAGGTTCAATTCGAATGCGGGTTGGCTTGAGAGTGGAGTGAGAGTCTCTCAGATCCAGAACCTTTAGATTCGAATTCGGACGCGGTTTATTGAACATCTTTTAAATCCTGTTTCGACTCGGACTCGCTACAATAACTTTGCTCACAGCCGAGCTGAGGCTCGAACCCGATTGATTAAACGTCTTCAAATTCGACTGGAACTCGGATCTAATACGTATTCGTAATATCCTCAATAAAATTTGTAAATCTGTCTATATAGTGGCTCCAAAAATACCAGATGCTTTTTTCTCTTATTTAGATTCAGCAATCAACACATTCTACACATTTCTCAGACCATTTTGGAAGTGATTGTACAAGAATATGGACATAAGTGACTGTTACTTTTACAGTAGCAACTGCCGAGACAGATCTGACAGCGGATCCGTAGCTAGGGATCAGAGATGTCCATCGCGGCTGAAAATCTGCCGCTGCCGCGCCGCGACGGTTTATAAAAAAAGTCGTCGCGGCGCTGCCGCGCCGCGATGGTCTATAAAAAAATGTCGCCGCGGCGCTACCGCGCCGCTGCCGCGATGGTTTTCAAAAAAGTGTTTCGAATTTCACTACAGCAACTATATGGGACCAGAAATATTGGTACTAGTTCCTCAGATTCATTCAGTCTCAGAGTGTTTCCTTTGTAAACAATGAAATTCTATCAAATTCATGCAGTTTTCCAATGTCCTCGAAAAAAATTCTGTCGCTGTCGCCCCACTGCCGCGATGAATTTTTAAAAACTTTGCCGCTGCCGCGTCACTGCCGCGATGAGTTTTTGAGAAACCTGCCGCTGCCGCGTCACTGCCGCGATGAATTTTTGAGAAACCTGCCGCTGCCGCGCCGCCAACCGCGGCCGCGGCCGCGGCGCGGCAGCGGCAGCGGCGCGGCGGCGGCGCGATGGACATCTCTGCTAGGGATGTGACATTAGAATTAGTATTGGTATTAACCATTGAGCCTAATGCTTTAACAGCATTTTTAATTCTAATACATATATTTTCATGTAACTATTTGAGCATTATCTAGATACTATACCTGTAACTTTTCAGGTACTACTTGAACATCATATCTATAGTGTTCGTGCAACTCATGTATATTGTCGAGTAAAATAATGATCATAAGTTTGAATCGAGATTTTTGCGGTTCCCTCTTAACTGCTGGCAACTGTTTTAGCAGGATGAAGACCAAGATCATTGAGCATGTTTCCATAGTGATTGTGGCGGGTAGGCTAACATTAGTTGGATATAGTTCGCTAGTAAAGTGTTGACGGGGAGACAAGCTCATGATAATTGGGTACGTTTTTCCTAGCATCGAGAAAGGAGATGGTTGGAGTAACGGTACATAGATCATTCCAAGAGTTTCTAGAACCTTTAGAAGCATTTAATAATATAATATAGGTTTTGGTTTTTGTTTGAATTCGGGAATAAATGAAGAGAAGATAACATTCATACCTACATCCAAAACTGAGTCGATTAAAATACATTTGAAAGTATTTGTTTGATTTTCTTTTTTTTTCAGGAAAATCAATGTCCTTTGCCTAGAATGTCAAATCATCAAAAACTTGAAGCCTCGAAAAATGCGAGGAATCTATTCCATTCAACTCAGTTCCATATGCTGATTTCAAATCTACCACTTTTATGCCAAAGTGGCGGAGTGTGGATGTGAGTCAGAGGTCTTAATGGATGGGGTCGAAATTTTTTTGGATAGAAAACCATGAGTTGGACCAGGCTGATTCGAAATTACAATAGGCGCCTATTGGTCAAATCTTTAATAAAATATGAAATTTTCAAAAGATATTGAGTATTTCGACTAAATTTTTCTTTTCAAATATTCCATGTAATTCTTCCTTTGACTGGAAATCATTTTTGCAATGAACAGCAACTATTTAAAGAAAAAAATAATATTGTCGTCATCTAAAAATAGTTTCTTTACATTTAACAAAATGTGATTGCCAATTTCTCCTTATTCATTGACAATTACAACATGATCATCAACTACCGGTGCTGGTTCATTATCACATACAAAACAGTATACATCCGAACGGATCAAATTCTTTTTGACACAACAATCATCAACATATGTTGTTATTAAAAATGAAAACCCAAATACACCTTCAGGTCGACAAGGTTTTGGTTTTCTAGGAAATAAATATTCTTGCTCATTCATGTATTAATAATTTATTCAATGTACTTATATGAGTAACCATGAGCAGATCATTTTCTAAGAAAGAAAACCATGGGCCAGCTCTCTTCATACCATCCCGACCCATTAAAACATCTGGTGTCAGATGTGAATGACGGTGTGGTTGTATAGAGTGTAGGCGTGAGTGTTATTGTGCTTTTTACTAATATAAACTTTTATTTTAGTCATAATGTCAAAGTAACTATCGTCAAGAAAGTCTCATGCGAATGTACATTACATAATAATAATCGTTTTTTTTATTTATTTCGAAAATGATAAATATATCAGAATAAAAAAATCTTATTAACAATCAATTCTAAAAACAAATAGGTTTTTTTGTCAAATCTATCATATTTTATCTGTAGGGAATACAGATTAAGAAGTTTTTCTGATTTAATTAAAGTTTCTAATATTTTTATTTTCTCTTGATTTATAGATATAATACATAATAAAAATAAATAATTAAGTTTTTCATTAATATTTGATAATAAACATCGTAAAAATGATTCAAAATCCGTGGCAGATTTAGTGATTGTGAATTGTTATAATCGAGAACAAAGATTAATAAAAAATTGTATTTCTTTTAATGTATATTAATATCCAATTATCATATTTTGAGTTTTGTTTGTTTGAGATACGAATCGAAAAGCATGACTTTGCCGAATCGATACTAAATTTGAATTTATTGTAGTAAGAACGAAGAATACATTTAGTAAGTTGATTCAAAGGTATAATATTATTAAGAGTGTTGAAAAGAAGATTTTTACTCTGCTCACTAAAGTTAAACAAAATAATGAGTTCAGTAACATTTGGAAAATAATTTTGACAATTAATCATCGCTTTTTCATTTCGAATTTCAATTTGTTGAACAAAATTCATGATCATTTTTTGAAGATTTCTATTAATAATTTTATTTTTCTCTTCATATAATATATATTGTTTCCTCCTTAAAAGAATAAAATAGAATACAAAACAAATGAAATTATATTTACCTGTATGGATTCGTTGAATAGAAGCTAAAATTTTAATCTCGTTTTTTATCTACTTGATATTCAAAAAACCATCGTCGTTTGAACCAAAATGAAGAATTGAACATAGTAGTTATCGTAATAAAATCAATAATATTTTCAGCCGAATTTAAAAGTATAAGAAATAAAAATATCAAAAATTCGTAAATGTGGCATATAAGGTAAGATTAATCTTTGTCATCGGAGAGCATCTAAATAAGCTAAACGATAATAATTCGAAATATGTAATACTTGAACTTGATTAAAAAGTGATTGAATCATGAATTTCAATTGATTGAAAGGAATATCTAAACGATTTAGAGACACATGTGTCAAATGTATCAACGAAGCTGAATATAATTGTATTTGTGTAATAGAAAAATAATATGACGAATGAATCGACAAACGATTAAGATGAGGAACATATGACAAAAGATTATTGAGATCATTTAGAACATGTGTACTATTTAAAATAAAATGTTCAATAGGACTAGATCCTTTCGTTGCAATAGGTAATTGTTCAGGTTGATTGGAGTCACCTAATGATAGTTTACAATAGTTTAGTGTAGGTAAACAAACTATTTGTTTATAGAGATTATTTTTATTTTAAACTTGATCTTCACAATTAATTATTAAAGAAGATAAATAAGGCAGGACGAGTAAACATTTGAGAAGATTTTCAAAATATATTGATGGAATCTTATTAAGAATAAGTATTTCAAGTCTTGTTAATTTTAATTCAATACAAGTGAATGAAAAATACCATCAATAATAAATGGATTTGATAGATAAAGTGATTTAATTCGATGTTGATTAGGTATGATAATTTGTGTATGATAACGTTGAAAAGTTGATTTTGACGTAGATAAAAGTTTAATTTTTAGTGGAAAATTTGGATAAGTAAGAAGATTTTGAAATCGAATATTAAGATTAGAGAAAATTTCATATATATATGAAAAAAATAGAGAAATTAAAAAAATTTTATAAATAATTTTATTAGAAAGATCTTCAAAACGTGCGGTTGAATTTTTTGATAAACTAAAAAAAAAAAGTTTAAATATTTAAATTAAAAAATCAAGAAATCTTCTATCTTGACTGACCTTTTAGTATCACCTGTCGCCTGCTTTTTCTTATTACCATTAGCAATACTATTTTTTCGTTTTATTTGTTTCATAGCAAAATTAAAATAATATTTAAAACTGATTGTGCTTTATTGAAAGACAACTGACATACACGTTTAATATTTCATAATGTTTTTTAAAAAAAAAATAATATTCTTATTGTAAAGAATAGAAAAGAAAAACATTTGTTGATAGAAGAAAGGAGAAAAAGAAGGCTGTCAAAGGCATTGTCGTCATATGTTATCAACTAACATGTTTAAGGCAACCTTTATAAAATTTCTATTGAATAGAGGCAGTAAAGCACATCAATTTATTCTTTAAAACCGATATTCTTGGATGTGCACCAGTCTCTGGTATAAATTGTCGACATTGCACATACCGATAATGGGGGTGATACCAAAAATAGGCGATTGTACAAAGTATTTCTGCCACAGAATGTCAAATTTTAGGGTGTGGAGCTATGGCAATGCAGGCCTTTTTCTGTTAACATGCCCTCACACTCGAGTAGATTCCGTCAAAAAAAGACACTATTAGAGAATCAGATAATATATGGGCACAAAAAAATGTATTGTAACAAAAGTAGAAGTCAAAATTATTGTTGATTTTAAATACATTTATTTTCTTATTGATTAATCTTATATTGACATCAAGATAATTGTAAAATCCCATCATAACATTCATATCCATCTTCGGCAATATATTTTTCTCGAAAAATTTGAAAATTATTTTTTTCATAAAATCGAATTGCCTGTTCATTATCAGTCAATACCCCAGCCCATGCAATTATTCGTTTCTTGCCTAATCGTTTAGCTAAATCAATCATCAAATGAAGAAGTTTGCTACCCAGATGTTGATTTTGATATTCATCTATAATACAAGGCGCGAATTGAATGTCGCTGTCTTGATTTAGTTCTATATCATATTTGCGATATCGTTTTATGTCAAATTCTACCAAATAAAAATTGAACTCGAATAATGCGATAATTTTTCCATTATCTGTAATCGCTACCATTCTTAATGTTTCATTTTGATTAATTTCATCGCAATATGTTTGTGCACATTGTAAATCATAGCTGGGATAAGTGGCGAATCGACGTGTTCTCTCTGATAAACATTCAAGAAATTGTTTTAATGCAGGTATATCATTACGTAATAATGGTCGAAAGAAAATTTTTTCTGAACCAGTTGTTTTATCCAGATGAATAGCTTGAGTAACGAGGGTTGGATTTTGAGTAATTTGGTCTAGTGTTAATAAATCTGTCTGCATTTGCTACCTTGGAAATTTGTATCAATTTGAATTTTCTACTATGCTGAACAGTTATGAGAATATATCTTCAATTGCCTTATTATTTTGTGTGTCACGTACCAAACTTGATCCTTTTTTCTTTCTTTCTGATTATTTTCACACTATGACGACAGACACAGTAAGCTGCTAATGTGATAAAGACATGTAAATTGTGTAATTACACTTTTCTCCCATAGATATACTGTTATTTATGCGGTACACTGCTGATATTTGCTTTATTTTACCTCTTTTCCTCTTCAAATAGCATGTGTTTTCGATTCTTTTATTCTTGGAGAGCAAATAGAAGGTCTTGCTAGTGAGATAGAGGCTAATAAGTTGCATAATTACATTTTTTCATTACTTTCCAAGAGAGAATGCAACTTTCGAGTTGTTTGATAAAGATTAATCCATCTACAATGAAGTAGAATTTTAATGATCATCGTGTATGTAATTACATTCTAGATGTATTGCATGATCTTGACTAATTATCATGACTCTACATAAATGAATCTAACCAAAACTCGAAAAGCCGATTTCTAATAATTCTATCTGCTCTAATGAAATTACAATAGCTGATGCATGTTGACATTTGTAATGAGAAAAATGTGATGGAATCAGAAGTTCAAACAGATGGCACAGTAGGGACACCCAGAATTCCAGATTTTTCGTGTTTAAAGTCGCATTATGAATCATGTTACTATTGACATAATGAACAATAATTTTTGTAATGCGCGTGACACTGTGTGACAACCATCAACATTCGTACAATATCATTTTACCACAGTATAGATAAATCATCATTTGTTTATTGTAATCGAAGCAACAAATACAAAGAAAAACAGTTAATACTATATTCTACTCTCTTTGTGATTCTTTTCACTCTAAATTGAAGACTTTGTCTAAGATCAGTTAGACAATAATCATAATGTTCTTTCTTGATGAATCTACTTTGTCAAACATTTTACGCACCACTGTGTTACTAATCCTGGTTGTCTTATTTTCATCTGTCGGGATCCTTGTGAAAGTTTTTGTTTTTCAGTTAGTCACTGCAATAAAATTCCAAGCGTGGATGCACTTTTGAAACTTTCTTAATAACAATGCATACACTCACTTATCTATATATATACTGATAGACGTCCATATGTATGCATACATAGGGTGTGGGTTGAAGATAATATCCACACCCAGGCAACATTTTATTACTTCACAATTCTTCAATACAACAGAACAAAAGACAACTTCTTTTCCTGCCGAGCGTCGGTTTCTGTCGATGTTGATTCATTTCGATTCTGTTCTAGACAAACGATAAGAAAAGTATAAGATACTGTTTTATGACTTCTTACGCTTCGAAAACCGATGAATATCAACTAAACGATGACTATTCTATTCAACTTGAAATTGATTTAAATAGTCCAATTACATTGAAGCTTTATCATAATTATATAGTAATAGGATCTGTTCCATTTAATGACGATCGATGTTCCTTACTTCGACAAATCGACTTAGCGTTTCGAGTAGAGTACCTATAACTCCTGAACGATTGAAGCTAAAAATCTAAGCCCTGCACAACTTTATGGATCTTCAATTGGCAGCTTCAGTGCGCATCAGATGATTGAAAATTCACTGTAGTCATCTATCGAATACATTGTTTTTCAAAAAGATCATTTAAGAACCGTAGAAAAACCAGTGTTTCTATCAAAAGTTACACGAAAAATACGAGGTGTAACCATTTTGTCTTTGGTGGAGACCTTACCAACCAGGGCTGAAGGCTAGGGACAATCTACGTACTTTGATGCTACATGAAGTACTTTGAAAGTATCTATCAGAATAGATCAAACAATAATGGAGTAGCTCAAGGTGCCACAAAGTAATTTCAAGTACAAACAATGCTATTATTCGATTAGTTAGAATTCATTGAATATGTTCACATATCGAACGAGGACAATAGGAGTCAGAATTCATTAACAGGATTGCTTAGGAAAAGAGACAGGTACCTAACAGCATTAACGACAATATACACAGATTATTATAAAAAATTCTCGAACATTCCAGAAATTTCATCGAAATTTGAATGACTCGAATACGTTTGTAAGTGCCTTCAATAGTGCAGTTTTTCGTTTTTCTGCAAATAAAAAGTTATAATGCAAATGTCAAGGATGCTGGATAATGATGCACTGATTTATCAGTGTGATCTTATGATCAACAGGAAAAAGAGTAAATTGATCAAGTTGTAACTCTGAGAAATAATCAATATTAGTGTTTCTAAGCTTATTGAGATACATAATAGAGTGTTGACATCTCATGCTATAGATATAATGATTATATACAATAAACTCATTTGCCCAGTTAATTCAATCGTTATAATAATTAATAAGAATTTTAAAATTAAGAAAAACAACCAGCAAATAGAAGCAAAGCAAACAAAAGATTAACTGCTAGTGAAAAAGCGAAAAAAAAATTGTTTGAAAAGCAGATCGTCTCTTTGGTGATTGAATATCTGGGAAAATCGGTTTTAATTGATTAAAGCATAAAAAAATCTATTATTTTATTGAATTTAATCTGAAACTGGCATAGTTTATCGCTTTTTTTTATGATTATTCTCTGCAAATCAATTTTAATCTGATTTTTGGACCGTTTTACTTACATGGGTGATTGATAGACTACATTTAACGATCAGATAGTTGCTGTACGTTATATTTAAGTTCTAATTCAGACATTCGATTATAAACTAACTTTAGATTTCTTTTTTTTTGAGTGGTCTGATGTTTTGCTTTCATTTGCGCATTCGAAGAGTAAGTGACCGAAGAAATGTTCAAATGTTGTCATTTTTCGATATGCTGCATAGTGTTTGCAGTAAGAAAGAAAGTGCCCTTTGGTAAAATGTGAATATGATTCTTCTCTTTATAAATACCCATTGAAGAGCACCTTCGAAAGACTATACGCACACCTATATCTTGCGCATTTGTGAAAGTTCTACACAATGTATGCATTAAGATATATCTATCAGAAGTTTTTTCATAAATAATCTTCGATCAAAAAGAAACATGGATGGATAAACTCTGATGGATTTACACTAGTTCGTTACGCTTACAAATTGGCAGTAGATTTAAAAATACATATTCCAATAATAGTAAACGAGAGAGCCAGTTTACTGTTTTCTTAATAAAAACAGATAAATGTACATTGAATTGCATTGTTTCTACAAAAATACATGCCAGAATGGATGCATGTGGATGATTGCCGTTGTTGCCAAGGTTGTATGCATGTTATATCTGTTGGTGTGTATGTGTTAAGTGCATGTCTGTAAATAGATGTGTGCACGTGGATGTAGATCACTAGAAGAACATCCACACCCGAGTGGAGACCGTCGTCGTACAATGAGAAACTGTTAACTCAATATTTACAGCTGGGATCTTGACGATAATTGAAGATTAGCCAGTTGGAGACTTTCAGGCTCATATTACTTGATCGATAAAACCATGGAAATCGTTAAAAATGAGCGAAATAGGTTAGCCTTAATACTCCGAAAGTCAATAAAAAAAATAGTGAAAGTCGATGGTATTAAAATTTCGACCGAATCCGACCGGTAACCAGCAACCGGCCAGTTAGGTTCTAAATATAACCTATATCAATATCATCTTCGTACTACATAATCATAGTGTTAGTCTCGCTAATAATTTTAATTGATCACACAAACAACATTATACTACTATGAGCTTAGAGTGTAAATTCGAATATCTCTTTTCAACGCGACAAAATAATCAAGATTCAGCGTTTTACCAATCACAATTCTCCACCAAAATTGTTGAAAGGAATGCTAATCCAGAGTCAAAACGTTGATACTCATTGTTCTTAAAGAACAAAAATACAAACGACTTAACAACATAAAAGAATTGGAGAATATTTTGACGTGCTTCTGTAAACACATTGTTCACTTATAACAAATGTTTTCAAAGTCAAATGTTTTATTTGTTTGAAGAGCATAAAAAAGTCCATTTGTACAAACCATAGGAGTGCAATGGAGAAAAAAGAAATATAAAAGCAAGAGGCAATAATTAGTGTGTATATTCTCACATACTCTAACAGACATGCGAATGAATAAAACAACGTCTATCAAAGCTAATAAGAAAGCAAATTATATCAAAGCCAATACAAAGGCAATTCCTGATGTGCCATCAAATAGCAAACGATCATCGTACGATTATTGTTGAACGAATTAACTCCCGAATGATTTTTTTTTCATGTTCGTTTATCTAGTCGTCGTCGCTCCAATCTACTGAAAGCAGTTTTACTCATTCTCTGTGTAGCGATTACTGCAGCAGCCGGTGCAGTCATTCCTGTTATTGTCATATCTACAATTCAGCAAACTACGACATCGACCATGACAACAGAAGGTCAATAATTTCCTAATTATATTTTTGTTTCTCAAATTCAAAAATTTTTGCAGTGACATCAGCAATCGGATCAAATACTACAACGGTACATGAAAAGATATTCATTGCTTTTTTTTTGTCGAACAGTTGGGGTTTTTTTTTTGTAGATATCAAATACATCAAGCAACAATTCTTCTGCAAGCTCTGCAAGTTCTACAAGCTCTACAGATTCTACAAGCTCTGCAAGTTCTACAAATTCTACAAGCTCTGCAAGTTCTACAAGCTCTACAGGTTCTACAAGCTC